AAGGGAAATACGAGAGAGAAGAGAGGGAGGAGAGAGATCGAGAGTAGGAGGAAGCGAGAGAAGCAACCCATCAGAGACGCTAAGGGAAGGACCGACTGAGAGAGAGAATGAGAGGAGAGAGAGAGAGAGAGAGACGAGAGACGAGGATTTGAGAGAGAGAGAGATGAGGAGAGAGAGAGAGAGAGTAAATAAAAAAAATTACAAAGAGACACAAAAGACAGACAAGACAGAGAGACAGACAAAGACAAACAGAAAAGAGAGAACCAGACAAAACGCACAAAAATAGACAGACAAGATAGACAGCGACGACGAAGACTTTCCTGCCATACCCCCCCCCCCCAAACCACCGCAGACGACTACCTAAGCACCCTCCTCCTCTTCGTCTTCGTCTTTCGTCTTCGTTCTTCGTCTCCTTCTTCTTCTTCTTCTTCCCTTTCTCTTCTAAGCCTCTTCCCCTTTCCCCCTGTCCTTATACCTTGACCTTCTCGTCCTCGTCCTCCTCACCTCCTCTTCCCTTCCTCTTCCTCCACCCCTCTCCCTCTTCTACTCTTCCACCTCCTTCCCCTCCCCTCTTCTCCTCCTCCACCTCCACCCACCTCCTCCTCCCCCTCCACCACCACCTCCACCTCCCTCCACCTTCCTCCTCCTCCTCCTCCTCCTCCTTCCTCCTCCTCCTCCTCCTCCTCCTCCTCCTCCCCTCCTCCTTCCTCCTCCTCCTTCCTCTCCTCCAACCTCCTCCTCCTTCCTCCTCCTTCCCTCCTCTTCCTCTCCTTTGTGCCGCTGAGCAACGCAAACGACGGTCAGCTGAGTAAACTTATTATCGACCGAATAAACGAGAGATTAACCGCCAGGAAAGGGAACCCCTTTCTGTCAATCATGCACGCCGAGGACCTCTTCCCTCTGATCCTTGTTTCTCTCCTCTCCCTCTCCTCCCCCTCTCTCTCCTCCCTTTTCCATTTCTTTCTCTCTCCCTCTCCGCTTTCCCTTTCTTTTCTCTCTCTTTTTTCCCATCTCTCTCCCTTCTCCTTCCCCCTTTCTTTCTCTCTCTTTTCCCTCTCTTCTCTCCCCGCTTTTCCCTTTCTTCACTCTCTTTTCCCTCTCTCTCTCCCTCCTCCGCTTCCCTTTCCACTCTTTTCCCTCTTCTCTCTTCCCCTCCTCCGCTTTCTCTTCTTTTCTCTCTCTTTTCCTCTCTCTCCCTCCCCTTCCGCTTTCTCTTTCTTTCTCTCTCTTTTCCCTCTCTTCTCCCTCCTCCGCTTTCTCTTTCTTTTCTCTCTCTTTTTCCTTCTCTTCCCTCCTCCGCTTTCTCTCTTTTTTCTCTCTCTTTTCCCTCTCTCTCCCTCCTTCCGCTAAATAATATCTCTTTCTTTCTCCCTCCCCTCTGCCTCCCATCCACCTTTCCCTCCCACTCTCCCCTCCTCCCTTGGCTCTCTCTTTCTCCCAATCCTTCCCCCTTCTATCTCTTTCTCCCTCTCATGTGTGTTATATGCGTGTGTAATGTCGTGCGTTTCTTATGTGTGTGTGTGTTGCCTACATGCGCGTGCCCTGCCATGTCCGGCTCTCCCTTCCCTCCACCCTCTCTCCCTCCCTCCCTTCCTCCTACCACCTTCCCCTCTCCATTCCCTCCCCCTGCTCCCTCCCTCCACTCCTTCTTCCCTACAGGCCTATTCTATAGACCTCCCCCTCCCTCGCCCTATCCCCACCCCGGCCCCAGAGCCACCTCACACAACACAATACGCCAGTCCCTCACAAGATGCCTCATTAAGCTCACTTGTAATACCGCCCTCATCGAGAGCCGGCCCGCGTGCACCCCGGCGTCCGCCAGCCCGCCACGCCCCGAACCCGCCCCGACCCCCCGCCCGCCCCCGCGGGCCGAATGCCCTCCACGCCCCGGCACCCCCCCCCCCCACCGCCCCGCCGGTCTCTCGCACATCCCCGGCCTCCGCACCCCCCGTCCCCCGCCGACCCGACCGCCCCGCCCTCGGCTGCCGCCCGCGCACCTGCTTCACCTTACCCCTCGTCACCCCCCGGTTCCCCCCTCTCCCTCGCCCTACAAGAAGAAAGCCTGGCACCCGCTCGACGTTACCGAGCCCGCTCCCCCCTGCCACGCCCCGCCTCCGCGAACACCCGACACCATCGCCCGCGTGCACGGCGTTGGTCGGGCCCCGGGGCGTACCGGATCCGGCACCCCGATCGGTCAGCGGCTTGCCGCGCTCTGCGCCCGCGGCCCCGCGGGCCCCCACCTCCGGCCAAGCCCACCCCCCCCCCACCCGCCGCCCCACTTCGCCCCCCCGGCCTCCCGCCCCGCCGCGGGGCACATCCCCACCGCCCCACATCCTCTCCCCCGCCGACGTGGCCCCCATACCCTGGCACGACCAACTGGCTTGCCGGCAGCGCTCCCGGGCCCCCCTTCGCGGACCCGTTTCCTGCGGCGCACATCCCTGCCCCCCGTCGCGGCTCGCTCCCCGCTGCACCCACCGACCCCACCCCGCGCCACCCTCCCTTGCACCCGCCCTCCGGGCCCTCGCTGCCTACATAGCCCCTTGAGCCCCGCGCCCCGTCACCACCTACTCCCCCGGCTGCCGCCCCCTGCGCCCCCCCGCAGCCGTGACCCGAGCGCGGATACACCGGCGCGTAGGCCTCCTCCCCACGACGGCCCTCGGGCCCCCGGGCGGTGCGGCCTGCAGATCGCCACGGACACAGTCACGCGAAGAACCCCCGCTCACGCCTCCGCACTCCCGCGGGCTGCCGGTACTCCCCCTCCCCCGCACGCCTGGCGCCCACCCAGCGAGCGGGTCGTGCCGCACCCCCGGCCCCCCCCCCCCCCGCCGCCTCCGAGTCCCCCCCCCCCCCGACGCGTACAATGCCCACCATCTCCCCCGGACGCTGTCGCGTGGGACGTGGGCCGCCTCCCCGTCTCCCCCCCGGCACACGCACCCCGCGCCCGTCCGCCCCGGGCCTCCCCAGCCCCCACGCCCCCGGGCCCGGCCGTCCCCGGCCCCGAGCCCGCCACGCCCGCGGGTGGATCGGCGCGCTGGTCACCCACCGTCGCCTATATGGGGTGCGCCACTCCGTTACGGCGCGGCCGCCTCCCTGCGCGCTTCGACTCCCGCCCTGCTGCGGGCGAGGCCCCCGCCCGCGCTCCCTGGCCCCGCCCCCTCCGCACGCGTCAGCGTCCAGCCCCGCGGGTGCCGCGTGCCCTCGCCACCCGCGCCCCCGTCCCAAAACAACGCCCCCGCCACCCCGACCCCACCGATCTGGCCTCTACTCGTACGACCGCCCACGCCACGACCCAAAAACCTCTTAATTAATATCTAGGCGAGCGAGAGTCGCATCTTCTTTTTAATATTATTTCCTCCCGAGTTTTCCATTACGAAATGTCTGTTCTGTTCTCTCTTCGTGTCCTTCTTTATTGCTTGAAATGTTTAGGTTTTTATTTTCTTATTCGTTGTGTTATGTGTGTGTGTGTATTTGTGTTGTGTGTGTGTGTGTGTGTGTGTGTGTGTGTGTGTGTGTTTGTGTGTGTGGTGTGTGTGTGTGTGTGTGTGGTGTGTGTGTGTGTGTGTTGCGTGCTGTGTGTGTGTGCGTGTGTGTGGCGTGTGTGTGTGTGTGTTGTGTGCGTGTGTGCGTGTTGTGTGTGTGGTGCGTGTGTGTGTTGTGTGCGTGTGTGTGTGTCGTGTGCGTGTGCGTGTGCGTGTGCGTGTGCGTGTGGCGTGTGTGCGTGTGTTGTGCATGTGTGTGTGCATGCTGCGTGTACGATGTGCGCGCGCGTGTGTGTACGTGTGCGTGCGTATACGTGTACCTGTACGTGTCCCTGTACGTATACGCGTATCCGTATGCGTAACAAGTGCATTTGCGTACTTTTCTTTCTTTCTTTCTTTCTTTCTTTCCTTCAATCTCTTCTCTCTTTTCACCACAGGAAACCCTTAACAAGGCGTCCTCCGACACAACCAACGCAAGCGCAGAACCTCGTTTAGGCACACACGACCCTTCGCACAGTGCCACCGAGCCAGTGCCACCGAGCCAGTGCCACCGAGCCAACGGAAGGGCCGCCTGTGTTGTAAGGCAAGAGCATAGGATACGCATGCATGCACGGACCTGTATTTTGATAATAAAAAAACAAGTTAAAAAAAATCAATCAAATTAATAAAAAAAAACGTCCTTCAAAAATACAAAAAATACAAAAAATATAAACATCGTACATGCACATTATCAGTTACCAATCTTAATATTAAAACAATCCATGCATAAAAAAAATGCCCATGCAAAAAAAAAAGGGGGAGGGACAGAGGAGAGCGGATAAAACACCCCCCTTAATAATAATAATGATCATAACAATAACAATAATAATAATCATAACAATCAAATAACAATCATACAAGGTGAATGAGACCGAGGCCAAGTCAGGACACCTCTTACCAAAAAAAAAGATTAGGAAGAAGAGGGGAAGGATTGGGAGCGAAGGATTAGCCAAGAGAGAATCGTAGCCGCCGCCTCTGAGGTACCATGCCTGTACTGCATTCGCTGGGGCTACGGAGACCGAATCCCTAATCCCTAATCCTAATCTAGGCTCCGATTTATGCTCGCTGTTACCTAAATTTTCGTGTCCTGTCTATTTACCTTAATCTAGGATCTGTCTGTCTGTCCGTATGTCTGTGGTTCTGTCTATCTGTCTGTCTGTCTATTTGTCTATCTGTCTGTCTCTGCCTGTGTTTGTGCTTTGTCTGTCTGTCTGTGTCTAGTGCTGTCTGTGTCCACAGTCTCATTTCAAGTCTATTTATAACTACCTCATTTTCATTTCATAAAGCATTTAACATATTTGTTTGTTTGTTGTTCATTTTATAATCCTTAGTTATCAAAATCATTAAGGCCTTTAATTAGGATAAAAAAAAACTAATTCCACAGTATTGATACACAATTATTACTGAAATTAACCCGATACGTGAGCTAAATTTTAACTCAGACTATTTTTTTTCGGCCAATCATACAAACACCGATTCACAACCTTTAAATCCCCTTCTATTTTTTTAGCAATATGCGAAGATCACACGTAATCATACGCATAAACAGTTCGCTCTAACCAACACCTATGAAACACTTCCAAAATAAACAATTAAATAAATAAACAAAAATACATAAGTAATTAAATAAACTAATCAAACTAAATAAAAATCTCCATCGACCTAACACCTAATCTCTCCTAATCCACGACCAGACAAGAATCCTACAATAGGAATATCATTGAATTTATCACTATATAACCGTGCATAGCAATCATCTTTGAATTTAATAGTATATAATTTTGCATAGCAATCACTGGACGGACCCCCATAGGCCTACTGACCCATTGCAAACCACAGAAAACCAGCCTATCCAGTCTCCCAACCCTATATCTTGGATCTGTCTGTCTGTCTGTCTGCCTGTCTGTCTCTCTACCTATCTATTTAACTATCTATCTATCTACCTATCTATCTATGTCTATCTACCTGTCTGTCTGTCTGTCTATCTGTATGTCTATCCGTTGTCTGACTGTCTGTCTGTCTTCTTATCCGTCTGTCTGCTTGTCTCTCTGTTTGTCTGTCTGTCTGCATATCCCATTAAGGAAAGTAAACAAGTACGAACACACGCCTTTACAAACAAACAAAAACAACGTCATTTTATTTATCACCCCATGTCTTCCAATCTCACGTCCCCAATTATATAAAATTGCACAAAACAATCTAAAAAAAAAAAAAAAACAATCAAGACTTAATTGGTTATGAATGACAAAACACTCTAAACAGATTGAGCCTAATCGTGGACAATCAACACTCGGCAATTAGCAAATAGGCCTATGACTTCAACTTCCCTCAAGTTTTATGACTTCAAACTAATAATCATATAAAATATAATAATAATAATAATCAATATACAAACAAAACACGACAACAACAACAGTAATAATAACAACTATAAACAACAAAATAAACATAAACCGTTCAATTAAAGATCTCTAATCCCGAAACTCCCCCGACCAAGAAACGCACTAACAGCAAAACTATCAAAACAATCCCTCAATACCCAGTCCGCTCTATAATCAACTGCCATGAAATGGGGGAGGGAAAAAAACAAAAAATTTTGCTCCCTTTATATGGCTGACGACTCTCTCACTCTATTGTCTCTCTCCCTCCGTTATCTCGACGTCCCTCCCCTCCCTCTCCTTCCTCCGCCTCTCCACACAATGCGTGACGAGGAGGGGGGGGGGTCTGGATGGAAGGGGTAGGAGGGGGCGGAGGAGGGGAGGGGGGGAGGACGTCGACCATGCACGCAAGCAGTCCTGCAAAAAAAGAAAAAAAATACACATTAGATTACACACAGATTTTGCCTTCGTCAGGACAAGCCTTAAGTCTTAAAACAAGTGACATCGAAACGAAAAAACAACGACGGAAATATGTAACACAGGTAGGTAGACGAAAATGGAAAGGAAAAACACAATAAAAAATTAAATAATCATCGTAGCATTGACGTCAGCCTATATAGGCCTACTTCTCACCGCCGTACAAAGCCGCGATAATGATGAAAACAAATACAAATAAAAGACGAAACAAGATAATACGATGATTAAACAACAAACAACAAATACCAGAAATACCAGAGATTAAAAACAAATAAAAAAGCGAAAAAATATGTCACACCATCACCAAATAAGAATCAAAAGTAAACAAAAGAGAAAAAAAATGCCACACCATCAGCTAATAGCGATTAAACACAAACCAAAAGCGAGAAATATTTCACATCATGAGCCAACCAACCATCAGCCGTCAGCAGCGACGTCAGGAATAACAATAATAGTGGTCCCCATGACGTGAGCTAAGCGAGAGCGAACAGCAATAACAAAAGGGTTGCTCAACACGCCCCGTACCAGAGCCTCCATGCCTCTCGAGATGATGATACCTCCTGCAGGACGCGGGCCCTTCTCCTTTATTTATCTCTCCTTCCTTTCCCCTTCTGCGTCTCCTCCTTCTCCTGCGTCTCCTCCTTTCCCCTCCTTCTCCTTCTCCTCTCTTCCCTCCCTTCATCCACGCCCCGTACCAGAGCCTCCATTTCTCTCGAGATGATGATACCTCCTGCAGGACGCGGGCCCTTCTCCTTATTTATCTCTCTTCCTTTCCCCTCCTGCGTCTCCTCCTTCTCCTCCTCCTCTCTCCTTCCTTCCCTCCCTTCATCCACGCCCCGTACCAGAGCCTCCATTTCCTCTGGAGATGATGATACCTCCTGCAGGACGCGGACCTTTCTCCTTTATTTATCTTTCCTTCCTTTCCCCTTCTGCGTCTCCTCCTCTTCTTCCCTCCTTCGTCCACGCCTTTCTCTCTTCTCTCCATTTCCGTCAATTTCTGTCCTTTCGATCCTTCCTTTTTCGTTTTCTTTTCCTTCTCTTGAATTCTTACTTTCACCTCCTTTTTTTATCCATCACCCTTTACCTTCCCCATTTTTCCCTCTTTCCGTGAGTCAACCCTTACCCTCCTCTTCAATCCCCTTCCCTCCCATCATCCTAACGTCTCCTTCCCTCCCTTTCCCTCCAGTTACCCCATCCCTCCAACACTCCCTCCCCTGTCCTTTCCCCTTCCCTCTACTCCGTCCCCTCCCCCTCCTCCCCATCCCCCCTCCCCTTCCCTCACCCCTTACCCCCCACTCCCTCCACTCCCCCTCACCCCACTTCCCTCCACTCCCTCCCGCCACCATCACAGCCCCACACTGCCTAAGTCCTACGTGACCGACCCGCTGCCACCCCGGACGCAAGCACGCTGGGCCGCCGCTGCTCACACGTCCTGCTCACGAATCACTCTCGTTTCCCTCCCCCTCCTCCTCCTCCCCCTTCCCCTCCTCCCCCCATCCCCCTCCACCTCCCTCTCGTCTCCCCTCCCCCTTCCCCTCCTCCATCCCTTCCACCTCCCTACCCTTCCACTTCCACTTCCCACTCCTCCCCCTTTCCAACTCCTTCCCCCCTCCCCCTCCTCCTCCCCGACTCCTGGATTTCCCCTAAAATAAAATAACAAATAACAAATAAATAAATAAATAAAATAAAATTAATAAAATAAAACAACATAGATAAATAAGGAAAAAAAAAACAAAAATAAAATATAATAAAAAAATAAAATAATGAAAACAAATAAAATAACAAAATTAGACAAAATAAAAATCAAACAACAAATAAACACAAAAATAGAAAAAATAAATAAAAACCGACAAAGACAACGAAAGAAAAGAAAAGAAACGAAAAAAAAGAAAAAACACGACACACACCAAACCAAACGCCACTCCCCATCTATCCAACTATCCATTCCTCCTAATCCCTTCCCAAACAATCCGACTCCAATCTCCTCACCGGCATAATCCCACTACACTAATCCGCGCGACACCCAATCGCCTCCTAATCCCTCCTGCAACAACCCGCGCCGGTGTGATTCGCTAATCTTCCCGCATCACAACAATCTCGAGCTTCGCGAATACATTTATTAAAAGTTTTTTTTTAAATACATATAATTAATGTATTAAATACATTTATCAAAAAGTTTTATTAATCTTTTAAAAATACATTTATTAAAATCTGTTTATACATCTATTAAAAAATTAATACATTTATTAAAAGTTTATTTCTTTTAAATTATATTTTAAACATTTATTAAAAGTTTATCAATTTTTAAAAATACATTAATAAAAAATCTAATATATACATTTGTTAAAAGTTTATTATTTTTAATACATTAATAAAAAAATATGAAATACATTTATCAACAGATTATTTCAATTCATTAAATACTATTATCAAAGATTTATCTAATTTCTTAAATACATTTGTAAAAGGTTTATTAAATCTATTAAATATATGTATCAAAGGTTTATTAAATGTATTAAATGCACTTAGGCTTATTAAATGTATTAGAATTATCAAATACATTCATTAAAGATTCATCTAATTTCCAATTACATTTCTAAAAGTTCTATTTAATCTATTAAATGCATGTATTAAAGTTTTATCAAATTTACTGAATACATTGATGGAGGGTTTATTAAATAGATCAAGTGTGTTAAATACAATCCTCAAAGATTTATTAAATTCACCAACAAACAAATCTATCAACGTACATTTATCAAAGATTTATTAAATGAACGAAATACATTTATCAAAACAAACTCAATTAATTAAACACATTTATCAAAATAGACTTTATCAAATCTATTAAAGCTTAAATTTCGTCAAAGCTCACATCTATTCACTAGTCATGAGATAAAAGTGCCTTAACGTGACTATAGAGATGCCACTATTTTTTATTTATTTATTTATCTTTTTTATAAAAGCTGAAAGTAACAAAGCATTTAATTTATCATTATTACTATCATTATTTTATGAAAGCTGAAAGTAACAAAGCATTTTTTTTCTTATGAAAGCTGAAAGTAACAAAGCATTTTTTTTCTTATGAAAGCTGAAACAAAGCATTTTTTTCTTATGAAAGCTGAAAGTAACAAAGCATTATGAAGCTGAAACAAAGCATTTAATCGGTTTTTCGAGCTCCTGGCTAGAGCACCTTTGGACACGCATGCCATCGACTCTAAGGACCCCATCACCTCACGCATCTCCTTCGAGGACCTCTTCCTGTCCCCTTATCCTTATTTTCTCCCTCTTCCCCCTTCCTACTTTCCCTCTCTTCTTCTCAATTTTCCTTTTTCCTTCTCTCCTTTCTCTTCCATTTCCCTTTCCAACTTTCGCCTTTCCTTTCCCCCTTCTCCTTCCCTTTCTCCCCCTTCCCTTCATCCCTATTCACCTTCCCTTCTCCCTCCCACCTTCCAACCCTATATCCCTTCTCCTTCTTCCCTTTCTCTCTTCCCCTTCTCCACCCTTCCCCTTTCTCCTCCTTCCATCCCTATCCTCCCCTTTCTCCACCCTATCCCTTTCCCCCTCCTTCCAACCCTATCACCTTCCCCCTCTCCTTAGCACCCCACGACCCCCACCCTTCCATCTAAGCGGTAGAACAGGGTCAGGAGCTCAGCCTGTGTAAACAAAAGGAGAATCCGGATAGGGAAGAAGAGAGGGGGAGGGGGAGGAGGGAGAAAGGGGAGGGACGGATGGGTGGGAAAAAGGCGAAAGGGGGGGGGAAGGGAGGGGGTGGGAGGGAGGAGGGTGGGAGGGTGAGAGAGAGAGAGAGAGAGAGAGAGAGAGAGAGAGGAGAGAGAGAGAGAGAGAGAGAGAGAGAGAGAGAGAGAGAGAGAGAGGAGAGAGAGAAAGAGACAGACAGACAGAGAAAGAGAGAAACGAGACAGACAGAAGAGAAAGACAGAGAAGCGAGACAGACAGACAGAAGAGATAAAGAGCTCGGAAGAGGGGAGGAAAGGAAGGACAGAGAAGCGCCAGACCCCTCCCGCGCCCCGACGAGTTTCGGGGCCGCGGGCCGAGAGACAGAGAGAGAGAGAGACACCCCTCCTTACGTCTCCGGGCTGCGTGGCGGTGGTCGTCGACACACGCTCCCGCCGTGACGTCATCGCCGCCACACGCTACCAACCATTCTAGCCCGGGACCGTTCATCGCTCGGACGTTTACACTCCCAGCGACACCTCCTCCTCTCCTCTCCCCTCCTCCTCCCCTCCTCCTGCTCATCTCACGCATTCGTGCTCTATGTTGCTCTACGCTCCGGCAGACAAGACACTTCCGCTTCGATCTCTTTTTATCCCTCTCCCTGTCTGTCTGGCTTCATTTCTCTCTCTCTCTCTCTCTCTCTCTCTCTCTCTCTCTCTTCTCTCTCTCTCTCTCTCTCTCTCTCTCTCTCTCTCTCTCTCTCTCTCTCTCACAACACACACACACACACACACACCTTCCCATCTCTCTCTCCCTTCACACACGTTTCACTCTCTTTTCCCTCCCCCTCTCCCTTTCTCTCTCACTCCTCCTCCCTTCCTCCCTCCCTCCCCCCTCTTCCCCTTCATATTCCCCATTCCTTTGTTTATCATAATTTCCCCTCCACTCTTTTCTTCCGGAACCTCCTCCTCGCATACTTTTTCCTACTTCCTCCAGGCAGGATCTCCAGCCCGCCTTCAATTATTTCCCCTGAGGGCGCGGAACCGAAGGAATGGCAGAGAGAGAGAGAGAGGAGACGAGAGAGACGGAGGGAGAGAGAGGAGAGAGAGAGAGAGAGAGAGAGAGAGAGAGAGAGATAGAGAGAGAGAAGAGAGAGAGAGAGAGAGAGAGTGAGAGGAGAGAGAGATAGCGATGGGGAGAGGGAACAGAGAACGAGAGGGGAGAGGGAGAGGGAGAGAGAGAGAGAGAGAGAGAGAGAGAGGAGAGAGAGAGAGGAGAGGAGAGAGAGAGAGTGATGAGAGGAGACAGAGAGAGAGAGAGAGAGAACAGAACGAGGAGAGGAGAGACGATGAGAGAGATGAGAGAGGAGAGAGAGAGAGAGAGAGTGTGTGTGTGCTGCATGTTGGAGGTTAGGGTACGTATGTGCGTGCAATAGTGTCTGGATATGTGAGTGAGTAAGTGAATGATTAAATAAGTGAGATAATGAGAATGAGCGATAAGCTGACCGAATGAACGAGCGAGTGTAAGATGTCCTCCTCCCGCCGCCAGTCCCGGAAAGAACCTCCTTCCTCCTCCCCTCCTCCTCCTCCTCCTCCTCCTCCTCCTCCTCCTCCTCCTCCTCCTCCCTCCTCCTCCTCCTCCTCCTCCTCCTCCTCCTCCTCCTCCTCCTCTCCTCCTCCTCCTCTCCTCCCTCTCCTCCCTCCCCCTCCTCCTCCTCCCAATTCTCCTGACGGGTGTGATTCCTCGGCCGCGCGAGCGATCGCTTGTTATGCATCGGCTCAGTCAGTTGCAGCGGGGAAGCGGAGGCGGAAGGACGTGAGGGGCGGTTATTGGGCGGAGGGTAGAGGGGGAGGGGGAGGGAGGGGGGAGGGGAGGGGGGGGGAGGGAAGGGAGGGTAAATGGGGAGGGGGAGGGGAGGGGGGAGAAGGAAGGAGGGTAAGGATGGGGAGGAAGGGAGGAAGGGTGAGTAGAAGGAAGGAAGGTTGGGTAGATGGGCAGAGAAGGAGGAAGGGGTAGATGGAGGTAGAGTGAAGGAGGAGAGAAAGAGGAAAAGGGACGAAGAAAGAAAAAAAGAAGAAGGAAGGAAGGAGAGAAGAGAGAGAGAGAGAGAGAGAGAGAGAGAGAGAGAGAGAGAGAGAGAGAAGAGAGAGAAGAGAGAGAGAGAGAGAGAGAGAGAGAGAAGAGAGAGTTAAGAAAACGAGAAAGAGAAAAGAGAGAACGAGAGAGAAAAAAAAAGAAAAGAAAAGATTAGCGAGAAAGAGAAAAAGAGAAAAAGAGAGAGAACGAGAGAGACAGACACGAGAGACAGACAGAGGGGGAACAGGCGACAGACACAACAAGCGCGAGGGTCAGTGGTCATGGTTACGGGATGAACACATGCGACCACCACCACCTCCCTCCCACCTCTCCCTGCCCCCCCCCCTCCCCAAACACACCCGTTTGTAAACAGGACCGACACACCTCATCCATCCCTCTCCCCTCCCCCTCCTCCCCTTTCCTTCCCTCGCCACACACATACACAAATCTGCCACCCCTCCTCTTCCTCTTCCTACTCCTCCTCCTCCCCTCCCCATCCCCTCCCTTCATCCTATAACCCCTCCCCCTCCCCTCCCCTTACCCTAACCCCTCTACCATCCCCTCCCCTCCCCCTATACCCTAACCCTCTACCATCCCCTCCCCTCACCCTATACCTCTCCCATCCCCCCTATACCCCATATCCTCTATAACCCCATATCCTCCCTATACCCCCCTCCCCTATACCCCCCATCCCTCCCCTATACCTCCCATATCCTCCCCCATTAATATATATCCTCCCATATCCCCCCTATACCCCATATCCTCCCCTATACCCCCCATATCCTCCTATTACCCCCCCCCTGCCCCCCGACCCTCTCCCGCCCTACCGCTCTCCCCCATCAGCTGTTTTACAACCGGCGTCGGCCCATAGCGGTGTGGGTCGGTCGGTCGGTCGCGTCCTGCCCAATCTCGCCCCGGGATTGTTTAAACTTTCCTCCCTCATTCCCCCCTCCCCCTCCTCCTCCCTCTCTCTCTCTCTCTTCTCTCCTGCCATATTCTTTTCTCTCTTACGGTCTCGTCTCTTTCTCGTTCTCGTTTCTCTCTCTCTCTCTCTCTCTCTCTCACGTCTATCCTCTCATATCCTCTTCTCTTTCTTTCGCTCTCTTTCTTTCTCTTCTTTCTTGCTACCTTCGTTTTCGCTCTTTCTCTTTCTCCTTAGCTTTCCCTCTTTCTCTTTCAGTTTCACTTGCTCTCTTTCCTCTTCCCGTTCTACTACCCTCTACGTTTCATACTCCTTATTTTCCAGAGAGAGAGAGAGAGAGAGAGAGAGAGAGAGAGAGAGAGAGAGAGAGAGAGAGAGAGAGAGAGAGAGAGAGAGAGAGAGAGAGAGAGAGAGAGAAGAGAGAGAGAGAGAACAAAGATGAACGGCAAAATGGAGGGGTGGGGCAGAGAAGTGGGAGAAATAAACAGATAAACAAACAAAGATAAAGTTACAAGGGAGATGACGATGAGTGAGTGAATGAGAGAGAGAGAGAGAGAGAGAGAGAGAGAGAGAGAGAGAGAGAGAGAGAGAGAGAGAGAAGAGAGAGAAGAGAGAGAGAGAGAGAGAGAGAGAAAGAGAAAGAGAGAAAGAGAAAGAGAAAAAGAAAGAGAGAAACAGACAGAAAAAGAGAGACAGACAAAGACCAACATACCAAGAAACAAAGACAAAACAAACACACAAATAAGCACAACACAACACCAAAACAAACAAACAAACACCCCACACACACACACACACACACACAACCGCATTCGACACCAACCACCAGCGCTGCTGCCCACTTAGATCAGTCGACAATTATTTCTCGCCCGGCTCCCTCACTCGAACCGATCAAGTGCTCACTCAGCTGGCCGCGGTCTCAGCTGGTTCAGAAATGACCAGGCTCCCTTTAACAGGCGCGAGAAGCTCCTCTTCTCCCTCTCCAACAATTTGCTAATCTTCCGGAGATGAAAGGTGCAAAATCTCCCACGACCCGACAGCATCCTCGATTCCACCTCGATTCCAGGGTTTGTTGGAATGTTCCTTAGTCAAATATTCTTTATTACTTTTATCATCAATTAATCAATGTTATCATTTTATTATACTCATTTTTCATAATTATTATCCTTATTATTATTTTCGTTATTCGTTATTATCATTATCATCATTATTATCATTATCATCATCATATATTATTATATCATCATTGCCATCATTATTATTATTGTTATTATCATTATCATTAGTTATTATTCTCATTACCATTACAATAATTTATTTACTATTATAGTATTATTCTCATTATAATTATATATCATATTACTATTCATCATTTATTACAATCTATCAATATACCACGTACAATCATCACCATCACCATCACCATCACCACATCACCATCATCACCACCATCAATCATCTCCCAACCATCATCATCATCATCATTCTATTTTTTTTTTATGCTAGAGATATGAAGTCCTGAACCGGCCCTGACCTCGAGAGGACACGGATGCCTCTGGGTGACGAGGAGGAGAGAGACCCGCTGCCTCCCGTCTCTCGAAAGGATAACACCACCATTACAATCACCATCACCATCACCATCATCATCACCATCATCCTCATTACAGTCTTTTTTTATGCTAGAGATATGGAGTCCTGAACCAGCCCTGAACCGAGCAGGACACGGATGCCTCTGGGGTGACGAGGAGGAGGAGAGACCCGCTGCCTCCCGTCTCTCGAAAGGATAACACCACCATTACAATCACATCACCATCACCATCATCATCACCATCATCCTCATTACAGTCTTTTTTATGCTAAGATATGGAGTCCTGAACCAGCCCTGAACTCTAGAGGGACACGGATGCCTCTGGGTGACGAGGAGGAGAGACCCGCTCCTCCCGTCTCTCGAAAGGATAACACCCCCATTACAATCACCATATCATCACCATCATCTCATCACCATCACCATCATCATCATCACCATCACCACATCATCATCACCTCACCAATCACCCCCATCACCATCACCACCCACCACACCATCACCATCCCCATCATCATCATCCTCATTACAGTCTTTTTTATGCTAGAGATATGAAGTCCTGAACCAGCCCTGAACTCGCGAGGGACACGGATGCCTCTGGGTGACGAGGAGGAGGAGAGACCCGCTGCATCCCGTCTCTCGAAAGGATAACACCACCATTACAATCATCATCATCATCATCTCATCATTCACCACCACCACCTCACCACCACCACCATCATCATCATCATCACCATCACCACCACCACATCACCACCACCACCCATCATCACCATCACCACCATCATCATTATCACCACCACCATCACCATCATCACCATCATCCTCATCAATCATTACAGTTTTTTTTTTGCAGATATGAAGTCCTGAACCAGCCCTGGAACTGCGAGGGACACGGATGCCTCTGGGTGACGAGAGGAGAGACCCGCTGCTCCCGTCTCTCGAAAGGATAACACCACCCATTACAATCACCATCATCATCACCATCATCATCATGTTCACCATCACCATCATCATCATGTTCACCATCACCATCATCATCATCCCATCATCACCATACCATCACCACCACCACACCATCACATCCCATCATCATGCATCCTCATTTACAGTCTTTTTATATGCTAGAGATATGAAGTCCTGAACCAGCCTGCAACTCGCGAGGGACACGGAGCTCTGGGGACGAGGAGGAGGAGAGACCGTGCCTCCCGTCTCTCGAACAGGATAACACCACCATTACAATCTCATCATCATCATCTCTATCATCATCATCATCATCACATCATCATCATGATCATCATCATCATACCAATCATCATCACACCATCATCATCATCATCATCAATCATCACTCACCACCACCTCATCATCATCACCATCACCATCACCATCACCATCACCACCACCACCACCATCATCATCATTACAGTCTTTTTTATGCTAGAGATATGGAGTCCTGAACCAGCCCTGAACTCGAGAGGGACACGATCTGCTGCATCCCGTCTCTCGAAAGGATAACACGTTGTTGAAAAGGGACTCGACCGTAGCCATGTGCTGTGTACGTATCTTTGTGTGTGTTGTATTCTGTGCATTGTGTACGTATCTTTCTGTGTGTTGTATTCTGTGCATTGTGTACGTATCTTTCTGTGTATTGCATTCTGTGCGTTGTGTTATTGTGTATTGTATCTGTGCCTTGTGTATTGTGTATTGTTATTCTGTGCGTTGTTATTGTTTCTGTGCATTGTTATCATTATATCTGTGTATTGTATCCTGGTATTGTGTATTGTATCATTCGCCCCTACATACCATGCATGAACAGAAACCTACATACGTATCTACATAGCTATGTATGATCGTAATTCCTTATAACCATGAAGTCTGTTACTTCATATGTGCTTCTATTTATGCATAAATTTGGAACGAATTTACATATATCACATTTTAGGCAACATCTGTACCCTTATCAATATATACTGTGTATCTAGCTATTTCTCTATCATCTAATGATCTATATATCGATATTTACCCATCTATTACACGTGTACATACATAATGCATATATAGTTATGTATATATATATATTTAATATAATATATATATATATATATATAATGTGTGTGTGTGTTGTGTGTGTGTGTTGTGTGTGTGTGGTGTGTGTGTGTGCGCGCGTGTGGTGTGTGTGTACGTATTAAACAAACGTAAATAAATAAACCAACATATCTGTGAAGTGCGTGTACGAGCCGTGCATGTGGGTATGCGAGTTGCGTAATGCATGTGTACGTACATGAGCACTAATCCAAGCCCTTACCACACGTACACATACCCGCACCATACATGTGTTTACCAATTCATCGACATCACGATTAA